CCCCCCCAAGGCCCCCTCAGGGCTCCCCAAAAACCCCTGAGACCCTCAATAAACCCTCCAGACCCTTCAGGGTTCCCCAGACTCCCCAAGGACCCCTCAGGATTCCCCAGATCCCCCCAAGGCCCCCTCAGGGCTCCCCCCACGGCCTCTGGGACCCTCAGGACCCCCTCCCGAGGAGGTTCCACCTTGGTCACCATGACCACCACGAAGTTTTTCTCGTCGATGCGGTACTCCCGGATGGGGACGTCGTCGCTCAGGATTTTCCCGGCGTAGATGAGTTTCTGCCCGGCCACGGGGAAGGCGTCGCTGCCTTTCTCCGCCTCGATTTTCTCCTTCAGCGCCCGCACCTGAGGCCGGGGGAGAGGGGTCAGGGTACCCCAAAAAGACCCCCGGAGCTCTCAGCTGCACCCCCCCCTCCCCCCGCCCTGCCCTCCTCCTCGGCAAATCCAGGCGGTTAAACGGGAGAAAATGAGGGAGGAATGTTGAATATTCGTGAGGGGGGTTGATTCGAAACCGTGATTTAAAAGTGAAAGGGGGGGGAGGGGGGGGAAAATAACGGGGACCCCACCCCAAAATAAAAGGTGGGGAGCTCATGGGGCGGCAGGAAAGAGAGGACGGCCCCACAAAAGCGAAGGGTGGGAGCCGCCCCCCTCGGCTGGCAGCCATCGCTTCGTCGCCCCCCCAAAATTGGGGAGAGGGGCACGGGGAGCCCCCCACCCCCCACCCCACCCCAAAACGGGGGTCAGGGGCGCGCGGAGCTGCCGCCCCCTCCTCACCCAGCTCCATCCCGGCCCTGGAGAGCCCCGGGAGGGGCCGGACCCCCCCTGAGGGAGGTGCGGGGGGAGGGGAGGGGGGCGAGGTCCGGGCCCCGCCCGCGCGCCCCCCCCCCCCCCCGCCCCCCCCGCGGCCTCACCGTCTCGTGCGGCTCCATGCGGATCTTGAAGGTTTGCTGCTGCAGCGTCTTGAGCGTCACGGTCACCGCCATGGCGGGACGGGGAGGGGGCGGCGGCGGCTCCTCCCGGCGGCCCCACAACATGCAACTCACGCCGCCGCCATCTTAGGCGGCCCCGCCGCTTCCGCCGCGGCGCCGGAAGTGCGTCACGGCGCCCGCGCGCGCGCCTCGCTCCCGCCCTTAATTCCCCACGCCCCCCACGGTGAGTGCTTATCACGTGACAGCGGAACGGGGGGGAGTGGTCCTCCCCTGATCACGTGACACCGGACTAAAAGGGGCGGCGATGGAACGAGGCTCGCGAGTCACGTGACGCGGGCGAGGGGTTAAAAGCGCGGGGGGAAACCCGTCCGCGGTCACGTGACGCGCGCGGCGGCACAAAATGGCGGCGGCCGCAACATGGCGCGGGCGGACGGGAAAAGGAGGAATGAAAGAGGAGGAAGCGGCGGCGCCGGGACGATCGTTAATTTAATAGAAACCGGATCGCGACACCCCCGTACAGTCCCGTGCGACACCGCCGGTGCTTTCCCCCACCCCCCCCACCCCCACCGCACCCCCTCCTCCCCGCCCCCGGCGCTGGTCCTGAGTCCTCGCCCCGCGGGGCGCCCGGTGCCGGTTCGGTCCCGGCCGGGCCGGTTCGGTGCCGGCGCGGTCGCGGCTTCCCCCGGGCCC